AACCATAATTGAGGGAGTTTTTATGAAATACTTGACTAGAATTGAAAACTGTCAAGGTCAGTAAAAACAAGGAAAGTCTGAGAACTGTCACAGCCAAGAGGAGCCCAGAAACATGACAGCTAAATGTATTGTGATATCTTGAAGTGGATCCTGGAACAGGAAAATGATATTAGATAAAAACTAAAGAAACTGCGTACATACATGTTGACAGCATTATTCATGATAGCCAAAAAATCGCACAGACTCAAATGTCTATCAATGATAAATGGATAGGCCAATTATAATCTGTCCATGCAATGGAGTACCAGCCATAAAAAGGAAGAAAGCACTGGTATGTGTTACAACTGGCGCATTACATGGACGAACCTTGTAAATATTACGCTAAGTGAAAGTGGCCAGAAACAAAGGGCCACATATTGCATCGTTCCATTTATATGAAAGGTCTAGAACAGGCAAGTCAATAGAGACAGCAAGTTAGATTAGTAGTTTCCAGCGATGGGGACTGAGAATGGGGGAAATCAGGAGTGGCTGCTTTGGAGTACTGGATTTCTTTTGGTGTAAATGAAAGAAAATGTTCTGGAATTAGGTAATGGTGATGATAACATGATCCTTCAAATACGCTAAAAACCACTGAAGTTATCCATTTTAAAGTGGTGAATTTTATGGTATGTGAGTTACAGCTCAATTTTTAGAAACTGAAGAAATCTGAATACAGTATGGAATTTAGTTAGCCAAAAAGTAGGGAGGAAGAGGAGACTATACTCAAAATGTCAGTGTTATAAAAAGACAGAGTGAAAGCTGTTCCAGATTAGTTGAGATTGAAGAGCTGTGACAACTAAAGGCATTGGACGATCCTTACCTAGACTTGTAGTGCTGGAGGGAAAGGGTCATAAGAGACATTATGTGGCTGGGCACAGTGGCTTATACCTGTAATCCCAGCACTTTGGGAGGCTGAAGCAGGTGGATTACCTGAGGTCAGGAGTTTAAGACCAGCCTCGTCAACATGGTGAAACCCTGTCTTTACTAAAAATACAAAAATCAGCCGGCCAGCAGTGGCTATAGTTGTAGCTACCCGGGAGGCTGAAGCAGGAGAATTGCTGGAGCCTGCGAGGCGAAGGTTGCAGGGAGCCGAGATTGTGCCACTGCCCTCCAGCCTGGGTGACAGAGAAAGACCCTGTCTCAAAAAAATAAAATAAAAGACACATGGGTCAGTTGACAAAACTGCAATAAGGATAGTAGGTTAGATTACAGTTATTTTATCAGTGTTAAATTTATTGTATATAATGAGAATCATTTGCATTTTGATTACATAATAAAATATTTTTAATTTTAGGAAGTACAGATATTTTGGGATAAGGGGCATGAGTATGCAACTTATTCTGAAATTATTCAGAAACAAGTTTATGTCTATAGTGTGTACATACACAAGAGCACAGGGAGATGCAAGGGATCCAGAACAGAGGAGGGAGACATCCGGGTAAAGGGTAATAACATATTTCATGTTATTCCTGCAGATTTGTTTTTTCTCTGAGTTAAAGAAAACAAAATTCAGAAAGGTGGGTGTTAGCAAGGATGTACAACAGAGGGAATTCATTACTCTAGATAAGAATGTAAATCTGTTGAAACACTTTGTAGGATAATTATCTTATACATTTCCTAGTTCAGTTTTTAGGTATATATCCTAAAGTAATTGTTGTACAAGTGCCATTTGCACCAGGAAATATGTGCAACAATGTAATGGGAGCATTATTTGTAATAGCCAAAAATTGAGGGACTATCTATCCGCTATTAGTGTAGGAGCATTTTAATACAGCAGTGAAAAAGCATGTTGGAATGGTATATGAATCTCAAAAACAATACTGAAAAAAAGCAAGTCACTGAGGGGTATAAACAGAAACATTCTATTTATATAAAGGTTAAAACTAGAAAAAAGTGAACATATTATTTAAGGCTACATATGTGAAAAAACTATAAAGAAAAGCAAAAGAATGATTGGTAGTTAATTCTGGGGATGGAGGGTACACAGGAGGACTTGGAAAGGCCTGGTAACATTCTGTTTCCTAAGCTGGTGTTTTCTTTAAACTATTTCTAATTCTCTGGTATGTATAGTATAGTTCTTCATTTAAAAAAGTTTCAAATCAGACAAAACTCTCCAAGCCAAAAAAAAAAAAAAAAAAGTCCACCATAAGATGAACAAAGCAAATCATAAACCAGTATGTAAGTTACTAATTTTTGTTAAGAAATTACATATGCATCTACATCTCTGTGTTTAAATGGGCTTATAAGTAGTTTGAGAGGATAAACATGAAAATGTGTTTTGGTGAAGGAGGATTGCAGGAAAATTTCTGCATCACCTGTGTTTTTTTAAATTTTGAAATCCATGAGCATTTATTAGTCAGACTCACATTATGAGATTATACTTCTTAAAATTTTGTTTATTGATATCAAAGAACTTTATATATTTATAGGGTTTATACTTCTTTTATCTTTACTACTGTTGAATAAAGAGCCTAAAGGTAGGGTCCACGTTTTGTACATACTTCTCTGTATTCTTATAATAAGAATTGGAAAAAAAATTTAAAATGTATGGAAAGTCAGAATGTTTAGAAATACTGAGAAAAGCAGGTTAAAAAGCAGTATTTTACATATTTAATATTAGTATCTTTAATATGTGTATTCTGTGTCTTAAAACGAAAACATTCCACTGTTCATGATTGTTATCTCTAGGCATTGTAGTTTATCGGTGGTTTTTTCTTTGTATTTTCCTTATTTGCATGTATTACATATGGAAGCCCCCCCAAAAAAATGAGAATATTTAGCATTATTAAAGATTGAAGTTCTTAGGTGCTTTCAGTAACATTATCCTCACCTTTGGGGTTGTGGCTGTCTACCTGTGGTGGGGAGTGCTGTCTTGCTAAGATGTAAGACGAGTGGCTGAGGATTTGCACTTCCGTAAGAGGCTGTCATCCTTTGACACCTGCGCTGATCATATGTGTACACTATGCCTCCTTCAGGTGCTGCACTATCTGGCAATCCAGAAACCTGCAGACCTTGCTCGGCACCTGTTACCTTGTGTGATTCATGCAGCTGTACTCAAGGTAAAGGAAGAAGGTAAATGTCATATTTAACTGATCATTAGTTCATTTCCACAGTGAAAGTATATTTTGCTTAATTTATTTAATGATGGCTTTGCTCTTTTAAAAATAGAAAATCTAGAAAACATTTCTTCAGTTAAGAAGATCATAAAGCAGATAATATCCCATTCCAGTAAAGTTTTGCACTTCCCCAATCCAGAAGACAAGAAGTTGGAAGTAAGTTTGATGTAGTGTCAGAATCTTGCCCAGTGTTCTCCTCAGTTGGCACAAATTATTTTTAAGATGTGTTTTTTTAAAAGGCTTTGCTTTTTTGCCATCTCCCAACGTATGCCTCTTCCTTTTCCACCGCCAGGAAATCATTCACCAGATTACTAATGTGGAAGCTCTCATTGCAAGAGCTCAGTCACTAAAAGCCAAGTTTGGAACTGAGAAATGTGAACAGGAGGAGGAAAAGGAAGATCTTGAAAGGTAACTGCTGTTTGGCTAATTCAGTTTTGTCCACAGTAGGAAAAGCCACCACTCTCTTAAGAAAAATTGTAATGGATATTGAGACTCTTTTGTGGTACTCATATATTATTTGAACAAGCATTGTCTAGAGACAAAAATAATTATCATAGCATTTGACTTCTGTATTTCTGAGCATTTGACTTCTCCTGTATGTCTGAGTCTCTGCCAGGTGTTTCCATTCTTCCCACTTTTAGAAACAGTCTCCCAGAGCCTCTTTTTCTAGGGATTCCTTGGTTTGCTCTTGGAGATGCGGTGTCTGAAATTTCTTGTGGAGGAGCTGTTAACTGTGTTGCTCACCCTGCCCCAAAACTTTGTTTTCAGCTGTTACTGTTCCTTGACCACAGTGTGGAGGTGCTAAAACCATCTCCGCTTACTGTTCCAAGTTGTTTATTTGAAACAAAATTTGTGATAGCAAAGGTACACCTCGCAATTATGTTTTGAAAGAGGGACCAGATGGCTTTTCTCAGATGAGGCAGATGATCAGGGCAGTCTTTTCTCTTTATGAAACTCAACACCATTACCAGTGGAGCTTAGATCAGTTTGAGGCCATGTACATTTTTTGCTTGTGTTACTTGAAAGAGCAATATTGGTTTATTTGTTCTTTTTTTTTTTTTTTTTTGAGACAGAGTCTTCCTTTGTTGCCAAGCACCAGGCTGGAGTGCAGTGGTGTGATCTTGCTCACTGCAACCTCTGCCCCCTGGGTTCAAGCAGTCCTCCTGCCTCAGCCTCCAGAGTATCTGGGACTACAGGCATGCACCACCACGCACAGCTAGTTTTTGTATTTTAGTAGAGATGGGGTTTCACCATGTTGGCCAGGATGGTCTAGATCTCTTGACCTTGTGATCCGCTTGCCTCAGCCTTCCAAAGTGCTAGGATTACAGGCGTGAGCCACCGCGCCTGGCCCCAGTATTATTTTAATGTGTGATAAAGTGTTACCAAATTAGCTTGTTCAGTGGCTTAAATTTGTCATCCTTTAAACATTTTCATTGCCCTTTCCGTAAGAAATGGCATTACTGATGCTAAATAATTGATACTATATGAGAAGGCATTTGCTATCTTTTAACAAGTTCAGGTTTGCATTTTATGTCTTTCGTTGAGTGAAATTTTCTCCCTGCTTGGCTCCTGAAAAATTTTTCCTTTTAAATGCGAAGAATAAGCTCTAATCAAGGGACTCATTTCTAAAATAGCAGTATGAATTAGTGAGCAAGTGCGGCTTGGTGGCTTTGTGCCTTCAACTCTGTTAGTTCCACCGTATGTTATCTGTGACATACTTGGAAGTTCAGTGTTTCCAGCATCTAATGGCACAGTTTACAATTGTGACTTTGCCCAACAGCAAGTATTTTAAGTATATGCGCACGCACGCGTGCACACACAGACACACACCCCTTAAAAAAAACAAAAACAAATATGGATCATTGCTTTTATTGGATAAATATAACTTAGTTTATGTTATCCAAATTTCTTTTCATCTTTTATTAACTGTAGCATTTTCTAAGCTTTTAGTGTAAAAAAATTAGACTGAATATTTTTTCTTACACTTTGACAGAGATAGGCCTGAAAAAATTTTTATGAACACAGGTGAAAAAGCAGGAAGATTTTCAATTGAGTGGATATTAATTCCAAATGTCAGTCTATCTTGCTATAAAATTTCACTTCAACCTTGGTGCGTCTAGCCAGTATGAGTGGGAGGATTTGTCCACAAAACTCCTGTGGGAGGATGGATAGACACAAAGTGGCCTGGACAGCTCATTTCCACCCTTTCATTGGCTGTCTGTCTGTCCTAGGTTTGTGAGTTGCCTGCTGGAGCAGCCTGAAGTGTTAGTCACCGGTGCAGGAAGAGGACATGCTGGCAGGATCATTCACAAGCTGTTTGTGAGTGCTCAGAGGGTATGTGAGAACCATTGCTGACTCTATCGTGATCTCTCCAGACCTCTGCTCTGGAAGAGGCTGTTTTAGTTCCCACACATGGCTGATCACAGTGATGTCACCCAAGTGTAAGTCTGGGCATTGGGTTTGAACAATGAAGAAACAATGACTTCTGAGCCTCAAAATCCATTTGTTTTCCTACATGTTGAATTAAAATGATAACTGTATTCTAGGACCGACATTTTAAAAATTAGAAGAGTCCAAAATCCATTGTTATAGAAGCTGGCAGGGACATGATTAGCAATGGCCAATGCTGTGCTGTAGGAAAAAATGTTTACTTACAGGTACTTTCAAATTAGAATGGAGTTCAGTTTTACCATCTCTAAAGCCTATGTAGTGCAAAGTGTATTCACAACTCTCCTTGAATTATAAATATAACTGTTCTTGTAATGGTGAAGATATCTACCTTTGAGGTTTCCTAGGAAAGAGGAAAATTTCAGATTTTTAGGGCTATGGAAACAGATTTCTGCACAGAAAGAAAGCCCAGCCTGAAAAATTATAATCATTACCTCTAGTAGTGAAAGTAAAGGTTTTAAAAGTATATATTATCGGCTGGGTGAGGTGGCTTATGCCTGAAATCCTAGCAGTTTGGGAGGCCAAGGCAGGTGGATCACAAGGTCAGGAGTTCAAGACCAGCCTGGCAAACATGGTGAAACCCTGTGTCTTCTAAAAATACCAAAAATTAGCCAGGGGTGGTGGTGTGCACCTATAATCCCAGCTACATGGGAGGCTGAGGCAGCAGAATCACTTGAACCCAGGAGGTGGAGGTTGCAGTGAGCGGAGATCGCACCACTGCACTCCATCCTGGGTGACAGAGTAAGATTCTGTCTCAAAAAAAAAAAAAAAAAAAAAAAAAAAAAAAAAAAATTATGTAGTATCTTGGTTACTGGCTAAGGGCTCTGACATCCCACAGATAATGATCAATTCAGGGCTCATTAATATTAGTGATTCTGATAAAGGTATTATGATGTGCACAAATTACCTGCTTCCCCTTATATGGCACTGTGATTACACTAGAATGACCCCGTTTTGAGAGTGTAATTTTCAGAATCAAATAAGAAAAATAATTTCTATGGGTCTACACATGGAATAACAACTGGATAATCCCTGTAGACTTAGTCTGGCGTACAACTAGTTAATATATTCCAATTCATAGCCAAATATACTGGTAGGAGTTCTTAGCAAGAGCTAAAATCTTAGTTTGTTTATGGGGCAGCTCCCTAAACTTAAGAATTTCAAATTAATAACCAAATATTTATTTCCTTATAAATTAGTCTTCTAGCAAACAATAGATGCTTGCTTTGATTTATTTTGTTTTTGTCTCTGGCATGAAAACAAGAACCGAGTTTGGTTCCACATCTGATGATATCTACACAGTTTACTACCCAGAAGCTTACAAGCATATTCTTTTTCTTAGCCGCCAATATGAATGTTCCTCATATTGCAAAAAAGTCTTTCCTCTTTGATTGTTTTTAAAAAGTGACATGTTGGCTGGTTGCGGTTGCTCACACCTGTAATCCCAGCACTTTGAGAGGCTGAGGTGGGTGGATCCCCTGCGGTCAGGAGTTCAAGACCAGCCTGGCTAACATGGTGAAACCCCATCTCTACTAAAAATACAAAATTTAGCCAGGCATGGTGGTGAGCACCTGCAATCCCAGCTACTGGGGAGGCTGAGGCAGGAGAATGACTTGAACCTGGGAGGTGGAGGTTGTGGTAAGCCGAGATCATGCCACTGCACTCCAGCCTAGGTGACAAGAGTAAATCTCCATCTCAAAAAAAAAAAAAAAAAAAGATAAGTCCTGAGATTATTGATAACTAAGCAAAATTATTTTCCCCAAAATAGAAATAACCTCCTTACCCCCTCTACTGACTGCAAGTAAAACTTTGACAATATGGGAAATTTTATATTTATTTATTCATTTTCTAAAGAATGGGTCTCATTCTGTCGTCCAGGCTGGAGTGCAGTGGCACGATCGTAGCTCACTGCAGCCTTGAACTCCTAGGTTTAAGCAATCCTCTCGCTTCAACATCCCAAGAAGCTGCAACCACAGGAATGCAACACCACGCCCAGCTAATTTTTGTATTTTTCCTAGAGATGGGGGTCTCACTTTGTTTCCCAGGCTGATCTAGAACTCCTGGTTTCAATTAATCCTCCTTCTACGGCCTCCCAAAATGCTGAGATTATAGGTGTGTGTGAGCCACTGCACCTGGTCTAGTAAATTATAAGAAAATACTAATCACATGATCTCACTACCCATTGATGATTTAACATCTAGTATATACATGTGTATATAATTCTAAAATAGGGTTATATTATGTAATTACTTCGTTATTCTTTTCTACTTAATATACTTAAGATACCTTTCAAAATCACTAAATACAGGAGCATAGTATATCATCTTTCACTGGCCTCATTGTATAGCTAATCCCCTTAATGAATGGAAATCGTGGATTCATCTATATTATTTCATTTAAGAAAAAATTTCAAGTTTTCAGACCTTGTAGTGAATGTCTGTAGTGAATGTTGTTATATGTAATCCATATAACAAGTGTCCGGTTGGTACATTTTTAAACTTAGTTCTTAACTGTCTGGCTGAAGTAAACTGTTAAGGGTTTATTCATATGCCTTTCCATTAGCTGATACTTTGTATCAATTTTACAAGTCAAGATTTTAACACTTTTTCTTTGAAAGCTGTGATGCAATTTCACTTGGTGTTTTTATAGCTTATAGTAATTTTATATGTTTATAACTCTTCCTTAAAATTATAAATAGTAATAAGCCTTATGATTATAAGTATCTCTGGTATATACATACTTAAATGGAATTCAGCAAATAAATGGATTTTTGCTTCAGGCTTGCTAGATTGAGTAACTCTTAGGCACCTATTCCTAAATTCCCTGGAATATCTATTTCTCAAGCCATGAACACTATTTTTTTTAAGCATCATAATTCCCAGTAGAAGAGCTAGGTTTCTGTTGGTCATTTCTCCATTAAATGACACCATGTCACCTGTTGAGCCATAGATGCATGAGTAGTAGATGTCTGCTGTAGTTGACAGCAATGTGTGCTGTGTGTGGTGTGACTTTGTGTTGAATATTATTTTGATAGGATCATGTTCCTTAATGTAGTGCATGCTGTCTCAGAAGTAATCCTGAACTCCCTTGTCTAGCCCTGTTTAAACCATCTTGCTTGTTTCCCTTTCATCACTGTTTCTTTTCTCACCCTTTCTCAAGCTGACTGAATCTTCTGATGAGGTAACAAAATAGCCTTTGCCCCTCCCAGTTCCTTGTTCCTTCCCATCCCTCTAACTTCATAAGGTCGTGAACACTAACCACCTCCCTCACAGTCTGGATTTGGCTTACCTCACTTGCTGATGTTTAGTGCAACATGATTTCATGTTTCCATTCCCAAAACAATTATTTTTTTTTCCAAATTGATGGTATTATCAAAAAAGCATAGTAATCAGAACTAAAATTTTAGGCTGTAAGTGAATATGCATTTTATGTCATTTCAATGAAAAAATAGATGCCTTTGATACTGAGAACTTCTCTTTTGTGGTCATTGCTGTATGGGCCTCTGTCACTTCAGCATCACATTAGCTGCCCAGAAAGCAAGACTAATGCCCCCTCTTTTAATTTGGCAAGTGAACCTTAAAAAGAATTGATTAAAAATTCTTACCCAGAGTGAAGATGAAAATCATCTCTGGAGAAAAACAGCTCCTTACTGGGCTGGGGCTACCAGACATAGACTTGAGTCGTTGCTGGAAGAAACACAGAAAGCAGCACAGCTCCGTGGGCCTTTTTCATCAGATGTCTGAATATGGCCCTGTCTCTTCAGAGCAGATTGCCTGGCAGTCATCATCCCTCCTGTCTCCGTCTCCAGTCCGGCTGCTCATGCCGTGTTTCAGGCTTCTTGCATTTGCTGTGTAATGTGGTTTTTGAGTAATCTTACATACAGCTGACTGCATTACTGAGTAACATAGGACATTTTCATTTATTTATCATGTTAATTCATCTGTCCTTCAAAAGCATCTGAGTTTAGTATTTTACCTGCTTTTGACTTTAGCATTTGATTCTTTTCCAGGCTGCAGCCATGACTCCACCAGAGGAGGAATTCAAGAGAATGGGCTCTGCAGAGGAAAGAAGGCAGAACTCCGTGTCAGACTTCCCACCCCCTGCTGGCCGGGAATTCATTTTGCGAACCACTGTGCCGCGCCCTGCTCCCTACTCCAAAGCGCTGCCTCAGCGGATGTACAGTGTTCTCACCAAAGAGGAATTTAGACTTGCAGGTGCCTTTTCATCAGATACCTCCTTCTTCTGATTCTTCTAGCATTACTCGTTGGTGGCTTCTGAGACAGTGCTGCCTCCTCCTGTGGGAGGGCAGGTGAGCCAGGGAGAACCCGAGAGGTCTTGGAGAGGGCCTTGCCCAGTTGGGTGATCAGGAATCAAACCAGCATCAGAAAGACTTCCCAGCACCAAGCTGGAGCTGTGTTGTTTCATGGAGGGGGCAGAGAGAATGGGCTTGGGCTGTTGAGAGATTTCTGCTCTAGAGATGGCCTTTGTATATGGGCGGGGGGGAACACAAACACATCATACACTCTGTGTCCTCACCCTGGCGGGACCGTGTTCATCACATTCTCTTCTGTGACTGGCCTCTAGGCTAGTGGCTGCATTCATGGTTTGTGCAAACACTTCATGGTTCTATATATCAGCATCAAGTGTTCAAAATAAAATATCTGTTAACTCAGATTTCTGGATATTTTGGTGGTAGCTTCTAGTCCCAGAATCTGTGTTTTTAAAATACTACATGACATCTGTCTATTCAATCACCTGGTGGTCATCTTTCTTGTACTAATTAACTGTTAATGAGCATTTTGGATATTCTAGGAGAAAGCCTATAATTTCACAGTTTCTCTTTTTCATGTAACTGTAACCTAAATGTATTACTTCTGATAAAACTATGATATCAAATGTCACTGCACATTAGTTTTATATCTATCTATTTTGTGAGATTTGTCTTATTTGTTTTCCTTTTGGTTGCCATGTAAGTCATCACCCTGAAAATCATCTCCCTCCCCTTCTCTTGCTGTACAGCATGCATTCTTTTTCTGTGGTTGCTGGCTGCGTACTGTATCTAATGAAGTAGAGAACAGCACATGCAAAAATACAGTCTGGGAACCTAAGAGACTCTCATGCAGATAGTATCATTTGGTTTATGCACTAATGCAGTGAGTAGAGGCTTATTTTAACACACTATTTTGCTTTGTATTTTAGTTAAAATAATCTATGGGGAGGTATAGCCCCCAGTATGAGAGTAACATCACCACATTTCTAGTTACATGGAGATCAACATGTATTATGTCTGTGTTGCTAGATGGTTTCTGCTTGGTAATCTTATTTTTAGGCCTAAAATTTCCACTTCAATCCAAAGTAAAAATGGTTATATTGACACGTAAACATAGAGAAAGGGCTGCCTCGAGGGAAGTCTGGGAAGGTCAGTTCCCTTTATAGTACTTTGGTAGCAGGGTGGGTGCGCTTAAATGTTGCCCCAAGCCAGGTGGGGTTTGGGTTTCTTGCACTGCCCCTTGCCAGGCATTGGTGGACAGGATGTGGAGGGATGGCAGGCCATGAAGCAGCCTCCAGTTTGCCTCGGTCCAACAGGTGGCCCTGTCCACTGTCCCGGCCCCTACTCCCAACTCCTTTCTTCTGAGCACACTGTAACAGATAGGGGTGGGTGGGTAGATGGATGCCTTGATACCTCTATACCTCTATGGCAAAAGAGGCCCCACTCTTTCTTTTGTTTAAATCTCCTGGCCTGTAACTTTCACCCATTGGGCGTCATGAGACTACATTTGAGAATATTAGCTCCTGGAAGCCCAAGGACTCTACCGCTGGCATTTCTCTGGCTTTCAAAAGTGGGATTTGGCTAGTTCTTGAAACACAAGCTCAAGCTACTTCATCATCTAAGCAAAACTTCTCTGCTAGCTCTTCCCCTGGTAGCTTGTGGCATCTGACAGGTGGTCATGGATAGGTCCTTCCAAAGTGAGCAGTTGCCCCTCCTGCAGGGAACGTTCTTGGCCTTAGCAGCCAAGGAAGCAGCTGAACCAGAAGACCGCAGCTTGGGACTCCATCTGGAGAGGGGGGGGACGTGGCCCAGCCCACACACAAGCCCCAAGACAGGAATGCTGGTGACCCGTGCTCTGGAATGGCCCCTACTCTTCAACATGTGCCCCAAAATGGGATGGTGTCCCAGGAGGCGGTCCCCATCCCTCACTCATCCAGGAGTCACCAGGTCTGCCTGTGTGTGGGGCCAGGGCCTTGCCTTAAACCGCTTCCTCTACAGACACCTTTGCTTCTGTTAAACTTTGCTTCGGAAAGGTGGCCTCGGCTGTGGTTGGACAGTCTGACCTGGGTAATCAGTGATGGGACACACTCAAAACTCTTCCAAAGCCCTCCAGCCACACGACAAATTGAATAAGTAATGACTTGTCCATGCTATTTGTACATATTCCTCTTTCTCAGCCCTATTGTGGCCCAAAACACTATTTTTGCCTGTGTTACATAACAAAGGAAACTACATTCTTAGCAACCCACTGTCACTCTGCTATGTTACCTTGCCTATATGAAAAAAGGAAATATTTTTAGAGTGTGAATTTCCCAAACGTCCTCAACTATTCTTGGATTGGAGTTACAACGTCATAAAGGGAGTGCGACAGTGGGAGGCCCAGCCATCTCTGAGGCTGTGGCTGAGTCCCATCTGAGGGCTTCTGTTGCCACTGAGGCTGCGCTGAAACGTGCCCTATCCTGCCCTGTCCCTGTGGCAGGTGGCTCTCTTTGCACAGGGCTTCCCACTGTCAGCAGTGGATTCCAGAGCCTAGGAATACTCTTCATTGATTTTCTTGACTCCTGTTGTTACTTTGGTGAAAAAAACGCCAGCAATGGCCTGTCCTCTTAGGGACTCAAGTAGGACGTAGAAATCCCCATTGGGGGTCCAGGGGAGCAAATTGCCTAGAATAAGCGCATAGGCTCCCTCCCTGCCACCAGGGACATGGTAGGAAGGCTTCCCTGACACAGATGTTAGCAGGGTTAATGCTGTCCCATCAGTAAAGCAAACCTGTCCAAAATGGTCAGGGGTTTCAGGCCTTGCCATCTGGCTGGGAGCCAGACATGTTTCTTTAGTGTGTTTATCAGCTCCCCAGGTATGTCCTGGTAGACAGCTGCTCCCAGGAGCTGGTGTAGAAACAAACCTGCAGGAAAAGCCAGCCTGCTCCAGGCGTGTGTAAGCTACTGGCAGGAGCCCAGCAAGGACCTACCTGGGTCATAATGGAAGCAATACAACCAAAAATCCTTGATCGAGCCAGGACAGACGTGGCCTCATCACTGAAGATTCCATCTGAGACCTGCAAATAATCCAAATTGTATATGCTCTTAGAGCAGATAATTTTCTCACAGTTAAATAAAATCTGTCTTAAGTGGGAATTATGAGTGGCCCATCCCCCTGCTACCCACTTAACTTTTCCTTTCTTTTGTGTGCTCTGATGGAGAGAGAAGACAAACGCAAGACAAAAGCTGTGTGGGGTCACTTTTCAGGACAGAACTTGGCAACATGGCCATAGAGCTGATTTAGTGGATACATTTTCAATTAAGAGGTTCTCAAATTTGAATTCTAGGTTTTCACATTTGAACTCTATCAGACATGGTAGAGAGCTACTGATAAATTTGGCAAAAGATATGCAAGGTTCCCAGAGACAAAATCATGAGACTTTATTGAAAAAGAATTAGAAGACGTGAGAATGTCAATATTGCTATTGTTATATTATTTTGGTAACATACCATTGTTCTTGTACAGAAAGATAAGGTACCACGAAGATGTCCATTCTTTCCACAATGACATTTAATTCCAAACAAAATCCCTGAAATACATTTTTTGGTGGAATTAGAATAGTTGAATCTGAATTGTATATGGAAGTGTAAAAGACCATGAACAACCAAGTGATTCCTGAAGAATAATAATGTCATGGATATTGCTCTATAAGATAGTAAGACTTACTGTAATGCTATAAATTATGGTAAAAGATTATGGTACTACCCCATGATCCACAATCCCACTACAGGTGTCTATCCAAAGGAAAGGAAATCAGCATATCAAAGAAATACCTGCACTCCTATGTTTATTGCAGCACTGTTCACAATAGCCAAGATGTGGAATCAACCAAAGTGTCCATTGGCAGATGGATGAATTAAAAAAATGTGATCCATGGCCCAGCACAGTTGCTCATGCCTATAACAGCACTTTCAGAGGGCAAGGTGGGTGGATTACTTGAGGCCAGGAGTTCGAGACCATCTCGGCCAAGATAGTGAAACCTCACCTCTACTAAAAATATAAAAATTAGCTCAGCATGGTGGCACATGCTTGTAATTCCAGCTACTCGGGAGGCTTAGGTATAAGAATCCCTTGAACCTGGGAGAGGTTGCAATGAGCTGAGATTGCACCACAACACTCCAGCCTGGGTGAGAGAGAGAGATTCTGTCTCAAACAAACAAAAAAATGTGATGCACATACACAATGGAATACTATTCAGTGATTAAAAAAAGTGAAATTCTGTGATTTGCGACAACATGGATGAGCAGAGAGGATGTAATGTTAAATGAACAAGCCAGGCACAGAAGAACAAATACCGCATGTTCTCACTCACATGAGGTGTCTGAAGAAGTTGCTATCATAGAAGTAGAGAGTAGAATAGTGATCACCAGACGCTGGGGAGGTGCTGGGGGTCAGGGGGAAATGGGAGGAAGTTAGTTAATGGGTAAAAAGTCACAAATAGGAGAAATAAGTTCTAATGTTTTATTGCACAGTAGGGTGACTATAGTTAATAATACTGAATTGTTCATTTCAAAATAGCTAGAAGAGAAGATTTTGAATGTTCTTACCACAAAGAAATGACAAGTGTTTGAAGTGATGGATATACTAATTACATTGTGTAATAATTTGATTATTACACAATGTATACTTGTATGAAACCATTACAATCTACCCATAAATATGTACAATTATGGTCATTTAAAAGCAAAAGTTAGGGCTGCACATGGTGGCTCACAGCTATAATCCCAGCACTTTGGAAGGCTGAGGTGGGAGAATCACTTGAGCCCAGGAGTTCAAGACCAGCCTGAGCAACATAGTGAGGCCCCATGTCCATAAAAAGAAAGTAGTAAAAATTGCTCCCGCCTGAAACCCTAGAACTTTGGGAGGCTGAAGCAGACGAATTGCTTGAACCCAGGAGTGTGAGTCCAGCCTGGACAACATGGCAAAACCCTGTCTCTACAAAAAAATACAAAATTAGCTGAATGTGGTGACGCATCTCTATAGTCCCAGCTACTCAGGAGGCTGAGCCCTGGAGGTCGAGGCTCAGTGAGATGTGATTGCGCCACTGCACTCCAGCCGGGGTGACAAAGTGAGGCCCTGTCTCAAAAAAAAAAAAAAAAAAAAGTGAAGATTAGCCAGGCTTGGTGGCATGTACCTGCAGTCCCAGCTACTTGGGAGGCTGAAGCTGCAATGAGCTGAGATTGTACCGCACTCCAGCCTGGGTGACAGAGTTAGACCCTGTCTCAAAAAAAAAAAAAAGTTAAAAAAATAAAAAGAGCATGGCACTGACTTAAAGTAGTCCAGTAGAACATCACAGAGAGTTCAGAAGCTGACCTGTCCATATAAGGAAACCTGAGTTCTGATAGAGACGGGAAGGCAGATCAGTGGGAAAAGATGGACTCGTCAACAAATAGTGCTCGGACAAGAGGTGATCCTTGTATCCCAAGAGGAAAAATAAAATTGGATCCCTAGATAACTCCCTACTCAAAAATCAATTTCTGGTAGATTGTTCTGTTATGTAAAACACAAATACATAAAACATTTAGAATACTAGGTGGGAAAGTAGCTTTAAAATTCCAGAGTAGGGAGGTCTTCTTAAATAAATACAAAAGAATATGAATCCTAAAGGAAACACAAATAATATGAACCACAAAAGAAAAGATGGATACATTTGACTCCATTAATATTAAGGATTTATGTTTAACAAAGAAAATACAGAATGAGAAAAGACAAGCTACACACTAGGGTAAGAAATCTGCACATAGACAACCAACATGGATTAGTGCACAGAACAGACTTCACAGTCCCTCCCTTGAATCAGTAAGACTAAAACTTGATAGCAAAATCACACACACACACACACACACACACACACACACACACAGATAGCAACAAGTCTGTCATAGAAGAGGAAAGAGGAATGAGCAAAACACAGGATCAGTTGTTCAACCTCATTAGTAATTTGAAAAATGCAAATCAAAATCACGAGACACCATTTCACACATACCAAATGGGCACCCATTTTGAAGTTAGACAATATTCAAATGTTGACAAGGATTCTGAGCAACAGGAGCTCTTATTCATTGCTGGCAAGACTGCAAATTGGTGCAACTTTGGAAAACAATTTGGCATTACCTAATAAGGTTTGAACAAATACATACCCTACAATGCAGTAATTCTGCTCCTGGGATGGTCCCTCGACCAGCAGCATCAGTATCACGGGAACTTGTTAGAAATGCCAGTCTCCAGCCACCAGACCTACTGAGCCAGAAACTCTAGGGCTGGGGCCCAGCAACCTGCGTTTCAGCAAGCCTTTCAGGTGACTCTGATGCACATCCAAGTGTAAGAACCACTGCTTTTGAGAAATGTTTGCAGATATGGGCACCAGGAGACGTGAACAGCAATGTTCACAGCAGCACTTCAGAGAAACCACAAACTGGAAACTGTGATGTCCTTCAACAGTGAAAAAGATAGTTATATTATTTTAGATCAGAGAATAGTGAAAAGAAATGAACTATTATTACACTTATTGGCATGGTGAGTATCACAAACATAAAACTGGGTGGCAGAAGCATGTCACAGGGACATATATGCACTACAATTTCATTAGATAAAGGTCAAGAACAACTCAACAATAACCTTTTAGGACTATGCTCCTATGTGTACCCCCATAAAGAAAAGCTAAGGGGCTGCTTTCGACACAATCACACAATTCAGGGTCTGTTTATGGGAAGGAAAGGGAATGCACTTGGGCAGCAGGGGACTGAGTTTAAAGGCAGAGGGAATATTCTATTTTTTAAGCTAGGTGGGAGGCACACTGCTGTTCATTTTACTATTTTTAAAAAATAGTATATATTTAAGCCAGGCGCAGTGGCTCATGCCTGTAATCCCGGCACTTTGGGAGGCCAAGGCAGGTGGATCACTTGAGGTCAGGAGTTTGAGACGAGCCTGGCCAACACAGTGAAACCCCATTTCTACTAAAAACGCAAAAAATTAGTCAGGTGTGGTGGTGTGTGCCTGTAGTCCCAGCTACTCAGGAGGCTGAGGCAGGAGAATCGCTTGAGCCTGGGAGGTGGAGGTTGTATTGAGTCGACATCATGCCACTGCACTCCAGCCTGGATGACAGTGAGACCCTGTCTCAAAAATAAATAAATGAAATATAAAACAAAAATAGTATCTATTTCTATCCTATTGTGGGACTAAAAGTCTCCATCACAGCAGATGCAGGATTGCATTATGGAGCAGTTGATGCAAAGGCTGCAGCCAGCCCAAGGAGCTTGAGGCCCAAGTCCGAGGGTCTGGCTTAAGCCCCAAGTTGGTCTGGCCCATGCACACTGGCTCCCAGCTTGCATACTGATGGGGACAATTCTGGATCTTCTGGCTGGGTGGGACTTTGAGGAAACACAGAGTCCCACTTCTGCCTGTCCACCCTGGGCCTCAGGGGGGCCTTCCCCTTTTGCCCCCGATTTTGCTGGCCCCTCCATGTCTCCTCTTCTCCCAGTAGGATAAAAGCTTTAGCTGGGGACTGAGTGGAGGATGGAAGCCGATTGCCAATTTATGGAAACTTGGTTGTTTATGATTGTGAGTGGTAATTTTTTTTTTTTTGAGACAGAGTCTTGCTCTGTTGCCAGGGTGGAGTGCAGTGATGTGATCTCGGCTCACTATAACCTCCGCCTCCCGGATTCAAGGGATTCTCCTGCCTCAGCCTCCTGAGGAGCTGGGACTACAGGCACAGGCCACCACACCCAGATAATTTTTGTATTTTTAGTAGAGATGGGGTTTCACCACGTTGGCCAGGATGGTCTCGATCTCTTGACCTTGTGATCCACCTGCCCTGGCCTCCCAAAGTGCTGTGATGACAGGCAGGAGCCACCACGCCCAGCCATGAGTGGTAATTTTAAAGAACTATTTCATTTACATGAGCATTTAGGAAAGTCATCTATCTTTATAAAAAATTCTTTTAACAAATATTTCCCTAAAATAATGACAGGTGGTCATTAGGTCTTTCAGCCACATGACAGAGATTTAGCCTCTCAGTGATCAAATCCACCACTCTGGTGGCTGTGTGGAAGGTGGGTTAGGGAAGGCCAGGCTGGAGTGTGGCCCTGAGAGGATGCCTCCTGGTACTGAGGCTCTCCAGGTACATGGATGCTACTGTCTCTGGGAGTCGCAGGTAGGCAAGTGCTGAGAAACATGATTGCATTCATCACCGGTGTCTCCCAGGGCCCACTGGACTGCCCACAGTTTCATTCCGTCACAGTGGCATAGAGTATAGGAAAGAGCTGCAACTCTTTTGGAGCTCAGGAAGGGTGCCCTCCTTTTGGGATCCACCCATCCTTCAAGACTGAATCTGCACCAGGTATTTCTGCAAGGACTGGGGCTGACCCCATCGAGAAGGAGTTAATGAGTCCTCTCAACAAAAGACCTTCCCCAGCAGCCTTTTCCAATGACAGTAGGCGACTCAGAGATCCTGCCATCTGGGCTGTTAGCAGATCTGTGTCAAACAAGCAGGCGTCTCAGGGAAACTTCAACCAGGCATTGTTTCTCACGAAAGGCTCACATTTGACAGGAAGAGAACGGTATGTAAGTTCCAGGAGCACAGGGTTGGGTTCCAGGGTCAGGACAAGAAGCAGGGCACCCGGAAGAGCAAAAGCGACCGAACGCTGCAGCCCCGTATGTTCCCGACCCTCAGAGGGATAGACCCTTCCCCTGCCGCGGCTTCTAGTTCCCACCAGGTGGAATGTGCTGGGCAGGGAACAACTGTCTTGTTCAAATTGTTCCCAAATTTAGCTCTGAGCACATTTCCTGATTTGGAGGGAGTATGGGAGGAGTTGCCTCCACAGGAGATCTGGAAGGCTGCTTTGCATCTCCTTACTTATCCCGCCCGGGCAGCTTTGAAAATGCTGCGTTCTTACCAGGAATTATCAGCGGACTCAGTCAGAGTTCTGGACAGCTTAGGATCCTCCGGACATCAGTTTCTTGATTTCAGCAGGAAGATAGTTATTTTGTTATCCTTCTTTAAAAGAATGGAAAATTAGGGCAGGGCGCGGTGGCTCACGCCTGTAATCCCAGAACTTTGGGAGGCCGAGGCGGGTGGATCACGAGGTCAAGAGATCGAGACCATCCTGGTCAACATGGTGAAACCCCGTCTCTACTAAAACTACAAAAAATTAGCTGGGCATGGTGGTGCATGCCTGTAATCCCAGCTACTCAGGAGGCTGAGGCAGGAGAATTGCCTGAACCCAGGAGGCGGAGGTTGCGTTGAGCCGAGATCGCGCCATTGCACTCCAGCCTGGGTAACAAGAGCAAAACTCTGTCTAAAAAAAAAAAAAAAAAAAAAAAAGAATGGAAAATGTAATACTGTGTTTCCATGGAGGCCTCTAAAGAAACATCATTCTCCTTTAGAAGAGCATCCAAGAAATTACGCTCAAACAAATCTTCTTTTGGCAGGACACCATTTAATCAGCTAAAAGATATTTATACCTGTGCTTATAATTCCGTGGCTTGTCGTGAGAATGGAGAGGAGGAAGTTAGGAATCAAATGCTCCCTCATTTTTCAGAGGAATGACTGGAAGGCTCTGGGAAAAGATCCTAAATTGTTAGGTTTCATATTCATCCATCTTAAGTTCACTAGAAACAATAGTTTTCTTATTAATAAAAATAACCATAAAAATAAGAGTAATAACAAATAAGGACAGAGATCATGTCAATTAACTGTGAGGATTTTTTTGGTCCCTCCATTAATTAGACAAATAAAATAGTCCACAGAGCTGATGCCTTAGTAGGAATTGTATAAATTCCTACTGAGCACTGGAATTGGTGTTTTTTCCCTCACCTATCCTAATTTGCTTCCTTTTAAAGATCAATGTGCTCTTGAGCTTTCCAGCAATATACCTGTAAAAATGGTATCTGTGGGCCAGTTGTGGTGGCTCACACCTGTGATACCAGCACTTTGGGAGGCCGAGGGGGGAGGATCACAAGGTCAACAGATCGAGACCATCCTGGCCAACATGGTGAGACCCTGTTTCTACTAAAAATACAAAAATTAGCTGGGCACAGTGGCATGCACCTGTAATCCCAGCTACTCAGGAGGATGAGGTAGATCGCTTGAATCTGGGAGACGGAGGCTGCAGTGAATCGAGATTGTGCCACTGCACTCTAGCCTAGTGACAGGATCCGTCTCAAAAAAAAAAAAAAAAATGTTGCCTGTTAGGTGCAAAGGCCTGGGCCATGGCTGCTCAGAATCAAGAGGGTTTGGGGGAGGTGGAAGTAGGATGCTGGATGAAAAATTTACCCATAAAGTACTGGCATGGGCTCCAAAATGATGCCCCTGGAAGTCTGCACCACCCAAGGAGACCTGCACTTCCCGAGGCTGAGCACGCTCAGCTTGTTAAATACCAGGACACATAGAGAGAATAAAGTTTTAGGGGTTCCTGCGGGATATTTTCATGCACCAAGTATTTCTGAACAGGGTAAGCCAGAAAATGTCTCAATTCTTCCAGTGGCAAAATGAGGATATGACATCTGCCTTTTATTTGCCACAGAACTCCTGAGATTCAGGACTGATTTTCAGCAAAACTACACAATGGGTGAAGCAGGTATTTGAAATACGCCACTTCAAACTAATCATTCAGTTTACCAATGGGTCAGACCCACTCCTCAGACACCCCCACTTATGAGCCACCCCCCTGCCATTACACTTACCTTAATACGGCAGAGCCTTATGCTAGCTAATCTAATGAACGACTTCATGCCTGCACAGAGGAGGCCAGCTGTGACTGTCAGGATACATTGTGCTACAGATGCCAAGCCTCTAAGTCTGCTAGATGGCACATTCTTGAGGGGCAGGGACCATGTTTTATTTACATTGCTCTTTAACCCACCTAACCCATATATAATACATGACTAATTAATTGAGCATGCAAATGAGTTTATAGAGAAGTATACGTCCTATAATTGCCTTAGCTAAGCTAGGTAGCATTTCTGTTGCGAAATAGTTCAGATTTCCAAATATGTGTATATTGGAAGGTATACACAATGGCAATGATCACTGTGACTTAAAAGCAAACTTCAGAGCATTACTTTACCTTAAAGAAAACAGGTAACCGCTCTCTAAGTTTTCTGTTAACCAGTGCCTCACTTCTCTCTCTTTCTTTTTTTTTTATTAAAGACAAGGTCTCACTCTGTTGCCCAAGCTGGAGTGCAACGATGTGATCACGCCTCACCAAAACCTCAAATTCTTGGTCTCAAGAGGTCCTTCCACCTCAGCTTCCTGAGTAGCTGGGACTACAGGTGTGTGCCACCACACCCAGCTAACGTTTAAAAACTTTTTGTAGACAAGGAGTCTTGCTATGTTGCCCAGGCTGGTCTTGGACTCCTGGCCTCAAGCAATCCTCCCACCTTTGCCTCTGGAAGTGTTAGTATTACAGGTGTGAGCCACCACAACCAGGCTGCCTTGCTTTTTATAGTTTCACCACATAGGAACGTATTCCCAAACAATATGCTATGAAGTTGGCGGTGTTTTTGAGACAGAGATTTCAGTCTGTTGCCCAAGCTAAAGTGCAGTGGCTGAATCACAGCTCACTGCAGCCTTAACCTGCCGGGCTTGAGTGTTCCTCCTACCTCAGCCTCCAAGTGGCTGTAAATACAGGTGCGCACCACCATGCCTGGCTAATTTTTAAATTTTTTAAGAAACGTAGTGTTTCACCATGTTGGCCAGGCTGGTCTCAAACTCCTGGCCTCAAGCTATCTGCCCACCTCAGCCTCACAAAATGTTGGGATTACAGGCATGAGCCACTGCACCTGGCCTGCTATCCAGTTTAGCTTGTTTTTGACCTTTTAAGTGAAATCACAGTGTACGTATTCGTCCTGATTTATGTTGTACTTTCTATATGTGACATCACCCACATTGATACACATAACTTCATTAATTTTCACAGCTGTATAGTATTTCATTATGTGACTATATCCAATTTAGCCATTCTTCTATTATGAACACTTGGGTTGTCCAGACTTTTTGCTGTTACAAGCAGTGCTCTCCAAGCAACCTCGGGAGTGACTCCTCCATCACATGCAGAGTTTCTCTAGTATGTGCATTCAGTCAAGTATCTGCACCTTTGACTTCCATTTGATAATGTCCAGTTGTTTTCCAAAGTGGCTGTACTAATTAACAGTCCAAATCGTTCTGGATGAGAGTTTGTTTTACTCCATATCCTTGCAGGCTCTTGGGTGTTGACAAAAATAAATTTTTTTTACCAATTTGCTGGTTGTAAAATAGTATCCTTTTTTTTTTTTTTTTTCTTGAGACAGAGCGTTGTTCTCTTGCCCAGTTGGAGTCCAGTGGTGAGGTCTTGGCTCACTGCAACCTCCTCCTTCCAAGTTCAAGTGATTCTCCTTCCTCCGCCTCTTGAGTAGCTGAGATTACAGGCACATGCTACCATGCCTGCCTAATTTTTTGTGTTTTTAGTAAAGATGTTGTTTCATCATGTTGGCCAAGCTGGTCTCGAACTCCTGAGTTCAGGCAATCTGCCTACCTCAGCCTCCCAAAGTGCTGGGATTACAGGTATGAGCCGCTGTGCCCAGCCTCTTATGATTTTAATGTGCATTGCCTGAAGCTTACCATCTTATGCTAAATTTGAAAACTTTAACACCTAAAAAAATGGAGAAGTCCTCTCTGTTTTGCTCAATCAGCTCTATTAAAAACTTCCTGCAAGCAGCAGGAATTCTATTGCATGGATGTTCACAGCATGAATCCCCACAAACAGGGCAGAACTTCTCAGGGTTATAAAATAAAGCCGAAGCTGCTGCCAGCACTGCTCTTATCAGCAGTGGCAGGCTCTAAGCTAGACTGAGAATGAAAGCATTGCTGATTCCAGAACAGAAGACGAGCATGAAATGGCTGTACACACTCCCATCCCTGCTGGAAGCTTATGGCCTAGAAGATATAACCACTCACCCACATGTTGAAGGTTAGTGTTAGGAGGATGGAGGGATTCCCTGTGGAGGCTTCTGTTTTAATAGCGACTTCCCAGCCTTCTACAGATTGAAGACTGCCTTGCATGAGAACGGTCCCACCTAATCCAGTATGCATTTTGAAAAAGGAAGGAACAGAATGCCCTTCAGTAAAGACTAGAAAATAAAACCCAACCAAGTGCAGTGGTTCATACCTGTAATCCCAGCACTTTGGGAGGCTGAGAAGGGCGAATTACCTGAGGTTAGGAGTTCAAGACCAGACTGGCCAATATGGCGGAACCCTGTCTCTACTAAAAATACAAAAAAATTAGCGGGGTGTGGTGGTGGGTGCCTACAGAGACCTACTAGGGAGGCTGAGGCAGGAAAATTGCTTGAACCTAAGAGGCGGAGGTTGCAATGAGCTGAGATCACGCCACTGCACTCCAGCCTGGGGGACAGAGCAAGGCTTCATTGCCCCTCCACCAAAAAAAAAAAAAAAAAAAAAAAATTAAACCTTACCTCACACATCCCCTGTTTTAGAAGTGGGTGTTTATGGCTGCGCTGCCAGTTCAGCAGCCATTGCCATGAGGCTACTGAGACTGAGGAACTGAATTTTTAAATCTGTTAAATTTTAATTAATTTAGAAACTAAAGCAGAATAAAATATTTTTCTGCTAAACACAACGTTATTCTTTTGGTAGTGCTACACTGCACTTTAGCCATGGAAAATTTAGCATCTTTGAGATGTTCGCTAGGTATACAATATGTACTTCTAAATATTTAGTATAAAAACCACCAATTTTTGGCCAGGCACGGCGGTGGCTCATGCCTATAATCCCAGCACTATGGGAGGCCGAGGCGGATAGATCACTAGGTCAAGAGATCGAGACCATCCTGGTCAACATGGTGAAACCCCGTCTCTACTAAAAATACAAAAAATTAGCTGGGCATGGCGCTGCATGCCTGTAGTCCCAGCTACTTGGGAGGCTGAGGCAGGAGAATTGCTTGAACCCAGGAGGCGGAGGTTGCAGTGAGCCGAGATCGTGCCATTGCACTCCAGCCTTGGTAACAAGGGCGAAACT